CAAATCCTACCATGTGAATTCATGGATTTTTTTCACATTCTGCCTCTCACAGTTGAAGTGTACCTTGCACAATCGGTGGCTGACTAAATACTTTTTTGCCCCACTGTATGTATGTATGTGTGTGTGTATGTATATATATATATATATATATATACTTCAATACAACTATAGAAATACATCACAGCATCTTCTTACTCAGCTTAATAATTGTTCTTGGCACAAACGATCCCTTCCTACACCTTTTTGCTAGCTAGAGGCATGCAATCATGTTGTCCTAAGGGCATTAATTAACGGACAGCAACAACAGACCGGGCTTTTCCTTAAGACAGCCTGATGATACAGCTTCATAATTTTTTTTCCCTCCAGTTCTTACAACCCTGTTCAGTTTGCCCCTGATTACCACATTGAGATATTGGATATAAGGACACTTTCAATCAAGCTAACAAACTCTTTCCAAAAACATTGTGGCTAACGCCAAAGCCTCTTAACACCCTGATCTCTGATTAGCTTTCTTGTAAATGGAATCAATATATGTTTCCAGATTTAAAGCGAATAACAACTTGCACAGACTGACCAGGAAGTGAAACACCTTTTACGGGGCCTGGGTCATTCAAGACATGCTGTTTTGACAACATTAATCAACAAATGAGCCTTACACAATTCTTCCAGCCTGCGTACCTCAGCAACCTAGCCTAGTAAAAACAATAAAACCTACAAGTGCAGACATAGGTCACATTTTTTTTGGCAGGCTCTCATTTTTTCCACATTCCTTCAAAGGCATGTTTGAGTTGGTTTCGGGATTAAAGGACTCATTTTGGGTAAGTTCAGTACCTGTCGGTGATGGTTAAACGTAGAGGTGAGGTATACTCTCCACACAGAGTGGAGCAGAGCACAGTCACCACATGGGAAACATTCAAAAACTCAAATGCTATATGTATGACAAATATGACAAATGCTCATCTAAACAAGTCATCTCATCCACTTCAAACCTGCCAAATTTGAAGTGGATCAGATCAAGTGTAGTCGAAGCAGGCAAAAAACCAACAAAAAGGCAGCTTTTTAAAAATATGTATTAAAAAGCTGAGCAGAAATTTGTAGTAAAAATCTGTCTGTCTGTTCTTTGTTTCAGAATAAGGACGTTATCCTTCTGCCATCCCATTCTGCCTTATCACGCATTTCATAACGCCCACGCAGGATCTGTTTTTTTAAATTCTAGCACAACCTGTCTTCCTCTCCCAGAGGGGAAATCCCAACAAACGAGGGCTGTTACAGGGGAGTGGTTTGCTCCAACAACAAATTAAAGTCATCCAGAGCTTGAGCTTTCAGTTATATGCAGGTGTTCAGTAACAAAACACAGGTCTTCATCCTGCAGATGCGCAGAACTTGACAGGTAAGCCTCTGGAACCTAAGAGGAAGTTTTCTGTTTAATGTAGTAACAGGACATATTTAATAATAATCTGCTTTAATTGAAGAGTACTTAGTTCAAATTTGCACTGCGTTTGGGACTGAGTGGTGTTAAAAGGCAGCATTGTTCATAAGTTTGCTTATGTATTCAAACTGTAAAGTTCATTTGCATATAAACTGATCGCCGCTAATCTTTTATGTTTCTAAATAGGCTTAAATCCAACTGCTTTTAGAGCCTTTTTTCTTACTTTAATACTTTAATGTACTTTATTTGCATATAAATTTGTTTTCAGTGTTTTAATTTCGACTTTCACCTTGAGCTGCAAACATAAACTAGTAGAATTTAGGTGGCTTTAGTTGGAATAAATGTTTTGCAGTTATGCATAAAGTAAAACCTTTATTTTGAAATGCTTAACAGACACACCTCAGTAACCCTGTGTAGGAGGAAACCAGTTGCGGGGCATTTTGTGCTGCAGTTGTTCCTTGTTTCTGATCCTGCGTTTACAAGCAGAAAGGTAAGCCACCTGTACATGTTTCACTATCACACACCTGCTGTTTGTTTTTCATAAAATTTATAGTAATAGGCAGTTTACCCTCCAGGTTGTGTGTGTGGAGGGAGCAGCAGAGAAAACTGACAGAGAACGCTAGCTGAGAATCAGTGAATGACTCCGTAAACATGCTGGATTCTAGAGGGATTGAAATCTCAGGAGGCCAGACTCTGCTGGCCTCTCCTTTCAGCTCGAGTTTCAGAGGTGAGTTTGTGTAATTTTAGTAAACTGATAACACATTCACTGCTCTAAAAAGTCTGAAACTCTAACCTCACACATTGTTTTGCCTCCAAACACCTTATTCCACCTGTTTTATTTTTCGAGATTCATAGAACGAGGAAGTCAGACAGACTTGGGAATGTTAAATTAGTCGCACTGTTGACTTTGTGTGCCAGGCCTAAAGCACACCACATGACTAAATGCTTACCTAATCAACCGAGAGCTTTTATTGATAAATGAACTTTACCCCCTTACTGCATGCACTGTTTCCTATTTTTCACTGAAGAATAAATACCTGATGCTTTATGCGGTGGCACATATTTACAGTGCGTGAAAGACACAGTGTGTCTTTCATGTCCAGGCTAGTAAAACTTCTAATTTCCCTACAGGGTGCTCATTCATCGATGTGAAGCCGCCACCGGTGAGAACTGTGAAGCAAATGCTAATGATGAAACGTAAAAATCTACAGGTATGGCCCTGAGTGCAAGTAGACCAGTAAAGTACAGAAAATAGAACATATAGAAGGCTTCATCTGAACTCTTTATAAAGGTGCACATGAGCGTGTAAAGTCTTGAGTTATGGCAGTGCTTTGAGTTCCTCCAGTATGAGGAAGAATTGGCAAAATTCAGAGCCAAGTACAAGTTGTTGAGAAAAGTCTGCATGTAAAGGCAGCCCAAATGAGTGTGTTTATTATGAATAATAACAACCCATAATAAGCCAATTATTAATATTCCTAGTAAAAGTTGACATTGATCCTCTTGTATTAACAGAACTGCTCACAGGACAACTACAATTTGGAGCATAAACGCATGTCTCCAAAATACGAAACTTCTCCCACTGGTGTGAATCATCATCAGTTAAGCCCTCCAGTGCCTGTCAGTCAAAATACCACCACCCTGTTTCCAACTGCTGCTCCTGAAAATGCTCCAATGAAACAAGAGTTTCTCGTAAATCAACAAATGCAGCACAGCTTCGAGTATCCACCCCTGCACGAACAAAGGACCCCGTCTCCTGAAGGCAGGATGACCTTGTTTCAATGGCAAATACAGCAGGAGGCACGCAAAGTTGAAGGAATTTCCCTAGAGCAGCTGTCCATGCAGGACTCAGATGGTGACACGTATGTATACATGAACGAAAGCATTACCCTGACCAGTGGTTAGTTGAATAAAGATCAGTGTCATAGAATTAGGTGAGAAGATTAAATAGTAAACTAAAAAGTAGAGATACAATTGTATGGGCAGACAGAGCTAGGTCAAAGTAAAAAGCTACATGGGTGAAACTACTAAAAGTCAAGGCTGATCAGCTGAAACAGGTTAAAGTAACAGAACAGTGGAAGGCTAAATAGCACCCCCCAGCAAATGTATAGCTAAATGGTTAAAAGCTAAAAGGTTCCAATATCTACAGTTATCCGGTAAAGTGACATAAATATGAAAATAAGCTAATGGATCATTGATTTTTAAACAGTTAGATAAACATATTGGGTGAAGAGTTTACAAAGACAAAAGCAAACAATTGAAACGGATCACAATATTCAAATGGTTGGGAAAAAGATGATTAAATGGTTATAATATGCAAAGGTAATGGATAACAGGTTGGAGCGGTTGGAAAACAGGTAGAGAAGTCACACGAACACTAGGTGAAAGTTATTGTTTTAAGGTAAACAATTAAGCAAAAAAAAAAAAAAAAAAAACGCAGACAAAGGTGGAAATCATTGAGGAGCAAATGGAAAATAGCTCTAACAGGCCTACTTGGCTAAAAGTGCAGAATAATTATTAGAAATCACACAAATGTACAGTAAGCCTGACCCAAACACTATGAACAGCATTTCTGTGGATTTCTGCTGCAGCTGACCTTTTTACTCCTTCCACCAGATTCCTTCACATAGCAGTAGCAAAAGGTCTGCGTGCTCTGGCTTACGTGCTCTCTGCAAAAATGGCTGGAACTTGCTTTCTGGACATTAAAGAACACAATGGGCAGGTAAAGACATTCAGTGGCTTGTGATTTATGGTGGTTTTCATACATCAAGACACATTAACCTGTAAGCTGTGTTTCCACAGAGCCCTCTCCAGATCGCGGCTACCACCAATCAGTACTTAATTCTCCAAGACCTCATGGCTCATGGAGCTCAGGTCAACACGAGAGACTGCTGGGGCCGTGCTCCTTTGCATGTGTGTGCTGAGAAAGGCCACTATCTCACTCTGGGGGTAAGAAATCACTATCAGTATTTACCTACCTACCTGCATATGTATATATAGATTAAATGCTGATTAAAAGTTAAAGCATAAACTTAAAGTTGACCTCTTTAGGCTTCAAATATTCACTAATTTAATCTAAATCATTCCATTGCTAAGCAGTGCAAGATTATACTGTCTAGCAACTTTTCAGAGCATTGCTTTGGATCAAGACGAAATTTTTAAGTTAGCTTTAAAAATTCTCAAACTTTAATTGCTGCTATCAAATACAAAGTGGCTATACAGTGTAGACATTTACCTAACAAACGAAATTCCCTGCACTAATCCCTTTGGGATTGCATCAGAACGGCATCTGGTGTTCTTGTTGACGCAAAATAAGAAAAATATTTGTGGTTGTTTCTATAGCAACAACTGGCTTAAACACACAAGTTTAAGATGTAAAAAAGGTGATTGTTTAGAGTATAGTATTCCCATGATACAACAGTTGGACAAAGTAACAGATACTGTCGTATCTCCTAGCGAGATGGGAGTGGCACACCTGTCTCACTATTGCCCCAATCCAGGGCGTGAAGCTCTGCTGGCAAATGACACCTTGTGAGTAAATGAGCCACACCCATGGAAAACGGCATTAGGTGATACCTGGGGATTGAGAAAGGCTGGCTAAACTCCAAACGCAGGATTCATTTCTTTTGTAAAACATAATTCAGCTTTCATAATAAAGCCTGAAGATTTTCACTGAAACCACAACACCAAGTCGCATAGATGACGACAGTCTTGCCACGTTTAAGCATCACAGGGCCAGAATTGGGACAGCTTTCCTCAATGGAGTGCTTACAAGTAGGGGAAACAGAACTTTCTGATTCTGAGCAGCAAAACCAGAGGGTTTAGTGTCAAAGAACTAATCAAATGTCATAACCTAAACAGGAGACAGATATCGGTGTAGGTCAGTAATCCAGTGGTCATTGTAGGCGCTGAAACTGGCAACTAGACATACTTCAGTTTTCAATGATGATCAGAGTCCCATATTTTTTAATCCCTAGTATGGTTACTACCGTAGAGTGTGTCCTGAGAATTGCTGACCCATCCCATTCATTGTTAAGAGTTAACAAGAGTTCTGCCATAAAGACAATATTTGACGTCCTCCCCTGTACCCCTATTGACGAGTTCTGACACTTCAGTATATATCATTAAATTCAAGGGTTACTCCTAGTAAGGTTTCTAGAGGGTAAAGAGTTAAGGCTGCATGATAACAAACCCACTAAAGGTTTAACCGAAGAAGGCTCTTGGATGACAGGTCTTCAAAAACAAGAAATTGAGTAAGTCTTTAAGTCTTGTCTTAAAGACTATAAAAAAAGAGGCCTTCATCTCAAGCCCTTAAGACAACAGAGATACACAACTCATCTTGTTAATGTATAACATGCGTATTGCTGAGAGTTAATATGAAACACGTTGCCTGCTTCCTCAAATGTACCAGAGACCTTTGTCTTATCACATGGCGCCAAAATTAATAATAAACCCGGACTCTGATCCACTTCCCCTGCAACTGTGACAAATGTAGGCCAAATAACGTTTTGTCAGAATAGAATTTAGTGTTGCAGTCATTCTTTTTTTTTCTAGTTGTATTAAGAATATTTTCTTAATCTCACTCATATTTCCGCAGGGCATCTGGAAGGCCTTAAAAGGAAATGGGGAACTGATCGATGTAGAAATGTTCAGTTACGATGGTGAGTGTGTTTTTGTGTGACTGAAAACTTTAGGATGCTTAAATGCCTTTTTTGTGATTAAATTCTGTAATTTGTTTCTGTGTCTGGAAGGTTTGACTGCTCTTCATTTGGCCGTCTTGTCTCACAACAATGTTGTGAAGGATCTGAGGAACCTGGAAAATCCCTGCACATTCATGACCGTGGAGCTGGGGCAGCGAAAGCGCTTGTACTTTGAATGTATCAAGATTCTGCTGAACATGGGCGCCTCCTGTGGGACAAAGGTAAGTATTACCACTTCAGGGGAACATTTAGCTGGCTTGGTCCTGCTCCACACCAAACTGCTCGGGTTTTCCCGTCTCTTGTGGTTTGGTTTAAGATACAGTGATCTAAATTTCCAATCTGGTTTTCATTTGGTTTATTTTTAATCTCTCCAGGATCTGAAAAGTGGGCGGACTTCTCTCCATATGGCTTCTGAGGAGGCAAATGTGGAGCTGCTGAAGATTTTTCTTGACCAGCCAACAATGCTGTCCATTGTAAATGTTAAGGTATGCCTACTGTTTCATGACAAAGAATATGTTTAGGGTGGATTGCTGCCTTTTACAAGAAACCAGAGATAAAGTTTCCCAGCTGTCACAGCTCCAAACTGCGCCCATAAAAACTACACAAACAGTAACATGTGGTGTCTTTTCCACTCCTTTCAGACGTTCAGTGGAAACACGGCGCTGCACATCGTCAGCTCTCTGACCAATCACAAAACTCAAGCCGAAGCGGTGAAGCTGCTTATGAGAAAGGGAGCCGATCCTGGGATTAGGAACTTAGAAAATGAGCTGCCGTCTCAGCTGGTACCTGAAGGTCCTGCTGGGGAAAAGGTAAGGGTGTCACTTCACATACATGCTGGAGGAATTGCAGATGGCACTGTTTGCTGACTGAAATCAAAATCAAATTTTTTTCCTGCAGGTGCGGCAGATCCTGAAAGGAAAACATGTTAATGCTTAAATAAAGCTGAAGAACACTGTCAGTCAGACAGTTGAGTATGATAAATATGATTTGCCAAACAAGGCAGATGGTGGTTGTTTCAGTGAAACATGTCGAGTTGTTCATTACGGTGTAATGCTTACAAAAAAAAAAAAAAATGTACTTATGTAAAATTTTTGTTGTTACTTTTATCAAGTAGGGTCAGTGTGATTATTCTTTACAGGTTTTAAGAGTTTGGAAAGGAATCTTGGGGTTGTTTTTTTTAAATGTTTGAATATTTTAGCACCAAGTGAAATCCTTTTGTTAATGCAGTGGAAAATATTTACCCATCTCATCAAGAGATAGTACTTTGAAAGGTATCAAATGATTTCTTTTTTTCCCCGGCATATTGGGCCAAAATGTAACAACTGGTGCATCCCTCATCAAATCTACACTTAATTTTCTAAGCTTAAATCTTTGTAAGAGTTCTAATCCTAAATATCTAGGTAATGTTTTGATAATGATATGCAAAATGTGGGGGGAAAAAAATCACTGAACCAACTTTTTTCTAACTATGCAATTACACTGTGTTGTTTTTGTCTTCATGACTGTGTGTTATTGTAAAGGTAACTATTGTGATGTGTGAATTGTCTTGTTTTACATTTTTAGTTAAGTTTCAACTTTATGGTTGTAAATAGGAGGGGTGATACAGAATTCTGGGACTCTGCCTCATATACATATAAAAAAAATCAAACAGGCATGATTTAAATTTGGGCAATCACCTGTTAATGTCTTATGTGCATCTCCAACACATTGTGGTAAAACCTCCAACTCCAATTTTGGAGAAATGGACGAAGTCACCTGGACGAAAATTTGACTAATATGGTGCCGAATCCCAGAATTTTTACTACAATTTCTAATTTTCTAAACATTTTTTTAATGTTACTGCATGTGATTTGCGTTTTCTCAGTACTTAAAAGTAATGAAGTACACAAAACATTTTAGGATTTGTTGCTGTTAATGATGAAATGTCAGAAATCATGTACAGAGGGGAAGGTGGTGGTTACAATCTGTCCAAGGACTGATTTTCTTCAAACAATGATGTAATCACTGTCAAATATAAATATAGAAAAAAAAAAAAAACAAGCTGGACAACAATAAAGTCTCTTAGTCTTGGCAATTTGGCTCTAAGATCCTCTTTGTCCTTCAAACTAGTTGACCTTGGAGTTTAAGCATGCTTCGGCTGAATTTATTTCTTCTTCTTCTCCTGTGTGGTGGTGAACCACTGGTCCAGCAGCTTCTTACTATAGTAGATCTGCCAGCCGTGAACCTGCACGGCGATGACGATCACCAGGTACATGACTGACACGGCGCTGAAGCCGAAAATGAAACGGTATGCTTTGCCGTGGCGATAGAGCTGCTGAGCCACGGGGAACATCTCCATGCTGCCGTAGATCAGTGGCGCCACACAAAAGAGCCCGGCGCTGATCATGGAGATGACCAGGTAGCTGATGTTGTTACGGGGCAGTGCCAAGAAGCTGAAGACTGTGGGTATTATGCTCAGTAAGTAGGGGTACTCCCACTGGTATGGAGAGGCCACCACCTTGTGGGACACCAGGTTCAGCTGGCTTACCGTCACCTGAGAAAGAAATGAAAACACATTCAAATTTTACAGAACGTAAAACATGCTTCTGCACAAGAATGCTTACCTGAGCTGCCATCAACACCCAGATCAGCAGATGGACAATGTTGAGCTTACGGATTTCAGACTTCAAGGAAACACTGTGAACATAAAAGAAAGACCAATCAGATGTTAGATTTTAAACAACTCAAAATTTAGTGGATCAAAGTCTCCTAAATACAGAAACCTTTGCATAGCAACAAATCACTCAGAAGAATCTCTTAGATATAAATTACTATATACTTATTTAAGCAGGCCGATGCTTCTGATGTCTCAGAAACAGTACTTCTCAAAAGGCTGTATTTGCTTTGGCTTGTCCATCCAGAAGGAGTATGAGCTTACGCAACTGCAAGAAGCCTGTGGGTCCATGATTCAAAAGAATCACGACTTCTCCTGCAGCATTACTCAGAATTTATTCAAGCTTACAATGATCACCTTGACCGACATTGTGCTCAAAGTCATATTTGTTGTTTTACAAATAATAACTTGTGAAACAAGATGAGATAATGACCACATCCCGTCCCAGGTCAGACAGGTTGTGCAGCGTAACTTTTCCTTTAAATGTTGATCACTAATACATACAACCACTGCAGAATCATCAGTATCTCTGTACGAGGCATGACCTGGACTTTTCCTGAAAGTTTGACGTGTATGAGCTGAACAGGAATGGAGGCAGCAGAGTCCCCATTGGAGCTTCTGCACATCACCAAATTAGATGAGGCACCACCCTAATTAGATATACTACCTTACAGACTGGCTGCAGTAAGTAGTCCATGAGATGCTGGACATGTTGACATGTTCCTGTAGCATCTCTCTCAGTAGCTCTTGAGAATAGTCTCTCCAGCTGATAGTTGTGACGCCAAATGAGATACTACTGACATTCTGGTTTTAGAACAGCTGTACTGCTCTTTTTAGCTTTTCAAATTAGTAGTTTAATACTTAAGAACAGTGAAGCTTGTTTTATTATTTGATTTGAATGATCAGGACTGTACACTGATGAAAGAAAGCCTTGAATGAACTGAGGTATACATTTTTATACTGTCATCTATATCAGTTTAGTTAACAGGGCCCTAGTTAACACTTAGCAGCTTTTAAACGAATTAAAACTAAAGTGATTCCAGATAAACACTACTAATGTTTAATTACTTGGGCACTTAAGTTAAAATATTAAAAAAATAAAATATATATAATTCCTTAAGAGTTGAATTTGGGGATTATTGCTCATTTAATGACAAATAAATGAACCTCATCTGGTAGTGAGAGGCGACCCGCTCCCGGTGCTGGAAGTCACTGCCATCTGTGCCCGCTGCTCTTGGACCAGCCCGAGAAGCCATGATGGATATCTGAAGGCAAAACATGTCAGGTTTAACATCATCTAATGTCTAATTACACATCAGTAAGCCAGTCATTAACAGCAATGAGCTGACTGCTCAGTCAGTCATGCAATACCGTTACTCTTATATTTTACACTTTAAAAGCTTCACGTTTGCGTTTGTAAAAGTGACAAAGCTCTAAAACGAGGGTGGAAGGGGACTTTGCTCTTATTAAATCACGGCATACAGGTGTTTAATTCATTAGTTATCTGCTAATGCTGCTAATGTGGCACGGGGAGCATTTAAGAGTACGCTCCTGTTTCCCACTCTGCATGTCAGCTTAAATGTTTCAGAAGATACTTCGTTTTTACTTCAGCTGCCATGACTTATGTCGATAAGTTGAGTTACAAATTGTTTGGGAATGGCTAGGCTAGCAAGCTAATGCCTGTGAGTGATTCACTGCTACTGTAAGTCAAACAAAAGTAGTGTTAGCGAGAGATAAATACGAGTCAGACCACCGGCAATGGCATTATGTCGTCTGTTGAGACATCTGATATATACAACGGCACTTACCTTTTATTTTCTGCTACAGAATAAAAGCATTTAACCGTTAAAAACCTGGTTAACAACGGCTACAGAGCAGCTAGCTGGCCAGCTTCATACAAGGAAAGAGGGATGACAGACAGAATGTATGACGTGTCAATCCCTGATTGGTCTCTATCTTCTTGCTTTCCTGTGACTGTCATATGTTAACCATTTAATTCCTCTGATAAGCAGATTGCATTTCTCTGGATGATCTGATGACAACACACTGACACTGCTGCAGTCATAGGCTATTTTATTTTAAACATAAACTCACTGGCCACTTTATTAGGTGCTCCTGTTCTATTGCTCTTTACTGAAACATGTAATCAGACAAATAATTAATGTATTTAGGCATGTATACAGTCAAGATGACCTGTTAAAGCTCAATGCGAGTGTCAGAATAGTGAATAAAGGTGATTTCAGTGCCAGACAAGCTGAACATTTCAGAAACTGATGATTTACTGGGATTTTTCCACAAATGAAAAATTGTGGAGGTCAGAGGAGAATGGTCAGACTGCACTGAGCTAATAGGAGGGCAACAGTAACTCAGACAACCACTCTGAATGCACAAGATGCCAAACGTTGGCCTACAGATAAGCTGCGGCAGCAGACGACCTCACCAGGTGCCGCTCTTCTCAGTGAAAATTAGACAATAGAAAATTGCCTGGTCTGATTTCTGCTGTGATATTTGGACCCCTCAGTGCCAACTGAGGATTGTTTAAATGTCACAGCTTGCCTGAGTATTATTGTTGACCATGTCCAGTCCATCCCACATGACCCCTCATGACCCATCTTCTGATGGGGGCTTACAGCAGAATAATGTGCAATTTCACAAAGCTCAGATCATCTTTAAACTGGTTTCTTGAGCATGTTAATAAGTTCACAGTAGTCATCAGATCTCAATCCAGTAGAGCATCTTCGAGATGTGGCAGAACATTTTGAGATTAACATTTTGGATGTGCAGTTCACATATCTGCGGCAATTGTGTGATGCTGCCATGTCAATATGGTCCAAAATCTCTGAGGAATGTTTCCAGCACTTTGTTGAATCTATACCACAAAGAATCAAGTCCAGACATGGTCCAGTTCAATTTTGCTGTGTTGATTAAGGTCTTGGCTACATGTTTTTCATTCTTGTTGATTGTTATTGGTGTAGGAATCTATAAAGCACAATGTTTTTGCTTTGCAAAGCACAAACATCATCTTAAAAATTAGGTCAAGACGAAATTTTATTTATTTTTAAATTTTTTTAAATTTTTTATTAAACCATCATATTGCCAAGAAAAAACAACAAAGATCAAAATTCACGTATTTACAGCACAGTTTTTGTCTGAAAATAAAGGAATATTAGGAAAAGTACTTTTAAAGAATGTCATACCAAAATGGCTTATCCTCAGTTTGGAAAAAACAAACAAACAAAAAAAAAACCAAAACACCCAAACAACCAAAGAAAAAAAGTGGCACAGTCATATGAATGGGTACTGCTATTTTATGTGTCCTGCATTTTGGAATGAATTCTCTATTTAGTGTTCAACACACAAGACAAATCCAAGTAATCAGTAGTCAGACAAATAAATTACAGAGAATACTGACAAACTCACACATACCTTTCAGTTTATATTTATTACAAAAAAACAACAAAAAACTAAGGACATCAAAGGGAAAATTCAAACTACTGTGGACAAAACAAACATGTATATTTTTTTGCTGTTCTGTTTTGGACTGTGTGGACTGGTGTGAAATTTAATAAAATAGCCAATGGTTATGTTATTGTTAAGTGAATAAGTGTGGTAAAATGCATATGAATATCTTTTCATATTAAAAAGCTCAACAATACAAAAAACAAAAAAAGTCTAACAATAATTTAATAATTACATGATGAACCCTAATACATAACCCAACTGTAATTTATAACTAAGAAAAATAAAGTGATAGGTTCTTACATGCCCAGTATGCGGTTTATAATTGTAGAACAGAAACTGCTGTCCTGTCAAGTGAATAAAAAGAAGATATACTGTAAATCTGCACTGTATGAGGAGTTATCAGAATCCATGATATACTCTCTGTAGATGAATATAATAATATATGTGTAATTAAGACAATGGAATGGCTAAAAGCCAAGTGATTTATCATAACATTTATATACAAATTTTGGCCATGGTTTTATAACTTCCCTTTCTGATATTTATTTGTAAGTAAATAGAGTTGTGGTACATACAGTGTTGTTATAATAATAATAATACTAATAATAATAATAATAATAATAATAATAATAATAATAACTACAGTAAGAACTAAAGAAGATCTTCCCAATTCTCGATGTAACCCGTTTAACTTGACCTACATTGTACCTTGTGACTTAAGTAGTTTTATTTACATTATGGTCAGATCTGTGCTATTATTCTCACCTTTTTTTTATATTTTATTACATAATGTACAGTAGGTATCCAGAAAATGTGGAGTGGACATACTGACCAGCATAAAGTCCTGCTGCCTGCTCCGATGGTAGCTGTATATGCACAGTGTCTCCTTTTCTTAATGGGAGTACAGCACTCCCTGAAGCCTGATCTAGCAATCCCTTTTTATACTCATCATAAGTGTACATAACTGGCTCATTATTCTTCATCAGTGCCACCCACACATTACTTCCTTTGCAGTGTACGTTGTAAGAAAAGTAGTAGATCCCTGGTATGCTACAGGTAAAAACACCATTCTGAGGACTGTAGTCCTGATTGCCATTGTGCAAGAGTTTGTCAAAGATGACAGGGGAACCCACAGGGGGGAATGGATTTGTGAGTTTAGCTGTGAATGCAGGCAGCTCAGGGCCATTTCCACCAATCTCACCTCCATTTGGGTTCTTGTAACCTTGTTTTTGGCCACTGTATGGGCCAGTCATAGGAAGGATCTGTCCAAGGTCAGGAAATGTAGCAGGTTGTCCAGGAGGTCCAGGGGGTCCAGGTTGTCCCGGTTGCCCTGGAAATCCAGGAGGACCACTGGGACCGGGGTTACCTTGTGGACCAACAAGACCTGTGGGTCCTGGGGCTCCCTCACCAGGATAGCCAGGTTTACCTGTTAAGCCTGCATCGCCTTTTCGTCCAGGAAGCCCAGGGGGTCCAATTGGGCCCCCTGGTCCTGCAAGCCCTGGAATACCTTGTGGTCCCTGGGGGCCTTTCTCTCCAGCCTGTCCTCCTTCTCCTCTTGTTCCTGTTAATCCTGCAGCACCAGGGGCACCAGATAAACCCCTAACACCAGCTTCTCCTTTTGGGCCAGTGGACCCTTGTAAGCCTCTTGGTCCTGGTTGCCCACCCTCTCCTGATCTACCAGGCTGTCCGGGAATCCCTGGAGGACCTGTCTGACCCTTTATTCCTGGATTTCCTCTTGGTCCTATGACACCATCATCTCCTTTTAATCCTGGGAAGCCAAGACTACCAGGAAGGCCTATTGGACCTGGTGGGCCAGGTATTCCACTTGAACCAGTGGGACCAATGACACCTGTGAGACCTGGGTGACCTTTATCACCTTTTGGACCTGGTGCTCCAGGAAGACCAGCATGTCCCTTATGACCCTTAGGTCCTGGAAACCCTGGTTTACCATAACCTGGCAAGCCTGGGTTCCCTGGTAAACCAGGGAGACCTGGTTCCCCCTTCCCTCCAGATACCCCCGGGTGCCCACTGAAACCATCTTTTCCTGGTTTTCCAATTCCTGGTACACCTGGTACGCCTGGTTGGCCTCTTTCACCAGGTGCCCCAGCCAGTCCTGGTTCTCCAGGAGAACCAGGCTTTCCTGGTATTCCTGGATGTCCAGGAAGACCATTCATACCAGGTTTACCAATGCCAGCAATGCCCACCTGTCCAGGTGGACCTGGTGGCCCACCAGGCCCTTTCAAGCCTGGAAAACCAGGTATACCAAGTCCTTTGTCTCCTTTGGGGCCTAGAGGACCAGGAAGCCCAGGCAGACCTTTTTGGCCAGGCTCCCCTAGAGGACCTCGCTGTCCTGGAAGTCCCTGATCTCCTGCTTTTGGAATCCCAGGGAGTCCTGAGGGACCTGGAAGTCCTGGAGGCCCAGGAGGTCCAGTTACGCCTACATCACCATTAGGACCGAGATCACCTTTTGATCCTGGTAATCCAGGTCCTCCAGGTTTTCCTGGCAATCCTGGCATACCAGGTTTTCCAACTCCTGGGTAGCCAGAAGGACCAGGAGGGCCTGGCTTTCCTGGTAAACCTGGCAATCCCTGTCCTGGAAGCCCAGGAGGGCCTTGTGGTCCTGGTGGTCCTGTTGGCCCTGGGGGACCTTGAATTCCTTGCAGTCCCTTTGGGAGACCTTTTACCCCTGGAACAGGAGGGCGTGGACCTTTAGCTCCTCTGGGAAAGGTTTGTCCTGTCAAGGAAAATACTAAAAGAGGTAAGTGTTGACCCACTAAATAATGATCTGACATGATCAGTTATCAGCAGTGTTGGGAAGATTACAGAATACATGCCCCAAAATGTATTTTGTAACATATTCCGTTACGTTACTCAATGAGAGTAACGTATTCTGAATACTTTGGATTACTTAATATATTATCATGCTTTTTTACAACTACATGAATGTCCTATTGCTTTGTGCGACATTACTATTACTATTATGGTTACTCGCCATACCAATAGCAACTAGATTTTTAAATCTTAATATAAAATGAGTAACAGTAGGGTGGACATTTGGTACGGCTGCACTTTTTGCAGTCATCTCGTATAGAAAACTATTCGGTGCATATATAAAACAGGTCCGTGGCTCTGAACCATAGTAAAGGGACCTGTGGCTAATATGTCGGGTTCCGTGTCGGGCTCGTAGCCGAAAACTAGCTTTACTTTGTTGTCTGGGTCAGCTTTGCTAGCGAGAGACAGAGAGGCGTTGAAAGGCTGCTCCAATGGAACTTATTGTTTTGGAGGAAAACACGAACACAGTGTACAGTGGAGTCTTAATAACGTACTTACAACTGAGCTCGTCAGGCACTCTTTTTGGCTGCTCACAGAGCAGAAACTGTTTAGATGTTTCTGCTCTGTGACAACTCGTACTTTTCCACTCACCTTTTTCTCCCTCCCTCGCTCACAGACACATAACGGGTATGGCAGTCCATTCTCCCTGCAGCACAGACTACACTGCCCATGAGGCTACATTCTTTAGGGCTATGCCTTTAATACTCTGGCCTATTGCCTTCATATTAAATCATTTTAAAAAATATTTCTTCACGTCATTATGAGACGCGAGATTGAGACACAGGCATTTGAGCCTCTTAATGTGTGTTTTGTTTGGGTTTCCACTGGTGTGGAATTACCAAAAATAGAGAGGGGATAGCCTAACATATGAAACAGGAAAAGAACGCCGTGTAATCCCTTTATTTCAACAAAGTAACTGTATTCTGAATACCACCTTTTTAAACAGTAACTGTAACGTAATACAGTTACTCATATTTTGTATTTTAAATACGTAACGGCGATACATATTCCGTTACTCCCCAACACTGGTTATCAGTAGTTAGTGATCGATGTTAACTAAAAAGATTTTAATACAGTTACTACTCACTGCATCTGAAAATGGATGACCCCTTATTAGGTCATTTGATTATAAATAAATGAACTAATAATGAACTAAAATAATTATTTACAGTGCTGTTGAAATAATGAAAACAGACATAATGAATCTATTGTAAAGTAAGTCGCAAAAGCACAGGAGCAAAGAAAACCAAGAAAAAAAAAGAAAGAAAGAAAATTCAAAACCAGGGAGCGCTCCATGTAAATAATTAATTTATTGTAGCAGTGCACTTAAGTTAATATCTTGTCAGTTTTACGCCATCTCCCCTGTATTTATAATGGAATTTGAAGGCACTTTTTAGTAAAAAGGTGTTAGTTAGTCAATGCAAAAAAGCTAAGAATTTAGTTCATGTCATATGTTGGAATATACAGATAAATATGTCGATGTCGATCTTACGTGCTGCACAATAATTTTTAATATTTAGTATTTACTGTTATATTCCCATAGATCATCGTAATGATGTTGTTTATTATATTGCTCTCTTTTTTTCTGCTTGTTTTCTCTTTTTTCTTTCTCAACAGGTGATCCAGGTGATTGATATATGTATTTTTTGTCTGCTTATTTTGTTGGTTTTTGTTTTTTTGCCCTTTATCACCATTCCTCTTCCCCTCTGTTTTTCTTTCCCTCTTTCTTTCTCCCCTTTCTTTTCCCCAGTCAAATCTGTCCTTTATTTAGCAGGTTAAAATAAAATAAACAACAAAAGGCGAATCAAATAGACCAATACGGCAAGGCTGGGTTGGTCGATTTGGTAAAGTAAATCCGTTGGGCATCTTTCTTTGCCTTTAGACAATAATTCTGGTGGCAAAAGAGCCAAACAGGACAGGCAAAAAAACCCAAAAGAATATATAGATAAATATGTAAAAAGGACCCATTGACGTATTTGATCTGTTTTACAGCAGGTTGTTAGTTTATTAATTATGGTATTAGAAAAGATGCAGGAGCTAAAAGTAATTTTTCACAAACATATTGAACTCACCTTTGCCATCTGTCAGTGGTCTCTCTTTACCCATGTGCAATGGCGGTTGAGGAAACTCTTGTCCATACTGAGGAAGTATTGGCATCTCATTCTCCAGAAACTGTTGCTGTGGATATGCATCATATTGTGGCAATGGCTGGGGCTGTTGGGGTGGCTGTTTATGTCCATAATACACCCCACCATGAGCAAGGTATAGTAAACATAGCTGTAACACTGTGATGAGAAGATAGAAAGAATGGAGGGATACAGCCACCATTTTCTGCAATTGAGAAACAAAAAGTGGAACTATAAGACAGATATAAAGATTTCAGTGAAATTAAATGAAAGCATCTACACACATGAAAAATCTTCGTATCTATCTTCATATCATATCTATATATCTCGTTAGCGGTATCCTTGAGGGTATCTTGAAGGTATCTTGATTCTTTAGATGAATATCAATTAGTTTCCAAAACCACTACACATCTTCCCATAAAATACAGAAAATGCTGTTTTGTAAAAGCAAATAAACTTCACAATTTGTATCACAAGTAAACAGCTTTATTGGTTGACATTGATACATATATTTGTATAATGAATGTATTATTTACTTCTAGGTAATTTACTTAATTAATGTGAATAGAGTTTGGTCATTTAGGGTGTCTTGTGCTACTCATCAATGGGATAAATGCTGTGCAAACAGCATTTAATTATTTAGAGAAGAAAATAATAATAATTAAGCCTATTAATGGTTTATGGCCATGCTCTTAAACCATACTGGTACATAGATGAATTCAAATGCCAGCTTTCAAGTGCTTACAAAATTCACTTGTCAAACCAAAGAAATCACCCAAACCCTCCACTGCACATATGTGACCTAGCTTAGATATCTTTTCAGAAACACTGTGTAAAAGCCTCCCACATCCTTGAAGTGATTCACACATACATATTATAATTAAGAGGCCCCACAGGGGATGTGGCCAGTTTTGAACATAATCTTTAATTCTTTAAACATGTCTGCGCTAAGGAGATCAGCTAAGCACTGCCAAAAGCACTGTGTGAAAATAAACACTGATGGGTGAATGCATGTTTTCCTCAGCTGCAGTGTTTGTGTGTCCTGAAACCGAACCAAAGAGATCAAACATTTTGGAAAGCTGCAATAACTGAAGGCTTGCTTACATTTTTTAGAGCAATTATTCTAAAAAGAAAGCTAAGTTGTGTTGGCTGGATGTTTCCAGGGGATTATTTTTAGAATGGAAATACTTATGTGTCTAGTTTCTCTGCAAAATCAGCATGTTAGAGATGTTAGGGTTGATTTGAATATGTTGCAGTAGCTATTGCACAGGTTGCCATCTACTGCATGGTTAACATTGAGATGTGGACACCCATTCAGATATGCACACTTACAGCCAGTTTGGAATCTTTGTACTGTGGGAGGGAACCCACACAGGAACAGGGGGAACAGGCAAGCTCTACACAGAGAGGCCCCAGCTGACTAGTGGACATAAACCAAGGACCCACTTACAGTGAAGTGACTGCACTTCTCATCTAACTATATACATATTTCAATATCAAATAATTAACTGCTAGAGAAAACTACCAGCAGAAGCTTTCAGAATCTTCTCTCCACCATTTTCTAAAAGCCTCATAATGTTATTGAACAATATCTACATATTTCAAGGTTATAAGTTTGATCCTGAGATAAGCCAAGAGGCAACATAATAGCTTAGCATGTAAAAAGTCTTCAGTAAAGTCTTTAGAGTTCAAGTTCGAGTCTGTGTGAGTGTCGATCTCCAGTAATTGAAAAAACTACTAAAAAGCACTCAAAGACAGAAAGAGTCTTGGATGTGCTTCAGACGATTTTGACATTGTGCATTCAACATTCAAACTACTGTGCTTACAAAATACCAACACACATAACACAGCACCTTTTGCAGTTTGGTGCCTAAAAGTCTAAAAAAACCTCAAAAAACCTAATCTTGATTCCTCTGTCCTTGCAAATTTTAGACCTATTTCTAAGGTCTCGTTTCTGTCATTTCAGTGTCCCGATAAAGTCAAGACTTGAATGGCGTAAATGTTCTTAATCTTAACAAGGAAAAAAAAGTGATCATCTTTGGACCAAGCTGTAATTCCAGTACCCCAGATCTTGACCTGCGCAGTTTAGTACCTTTTGCTAAACCGCATGCAAAAAATTTGGGGGTTATACTGGATAATAAGTTTACCTTTAAGAAACAAATGAACTCTGTTGTACAGCGGTCCTTTTTAAAATTGAGGCTCTTATCCAAGGTGAGATCATTCTTATCTTTTATCTTTGATGTCATTTGTTACTGTGTAATTTTTATCTTTGTACAGCACTTTGGTCAACATTTTGTTGTTATTAAATGTGCTATATAAATAAAAAATAAAGTAAAGTAAAAGGCTAATTAAAAAACTTTAAAAGGGGGAGTTACTGTTTGAGGACTGCTTGTCAGTTTGGACAGTCAAAAGCTTAACTGTCAGTTTGGAGAAATTTGGAGGTTCTAAGTTCAGGCGTTCACAGATTTTTCGAAGGATAACAGTGAGAGTAAACAGTGAAAAGAACACCTCAAGTGTAGCCTGGAAGTACTAAAGCTAAAGCTTACTGAAGCTGGGTTTGATTCTTATCAGAATTTGGTAATTTATGATGTCTTGGATCTAAATGCTTCAAGAAAACCAGTTTAAATATGTGATTAAACAGCACATATAGACTAGAGATTAATTTTGAAAGGAAAGAGTGAAACTCTAGTCCGGTCAAATAGGTCAGACTGCTTGAAGCTGTGGAGTCTGTTCTTATGAGAGCTGTTATAGTTTGAAGCACAATACCAACAATGAAATGTTCAGAGAAAAACCTAAATGCCATAAAACTCACAGTTAACTGAAAGTTAATTAAAAAAACAACAACATTAAGAATAAAAAAGATCACACTTAAACACTGCAACACTGATTCACAACCACTCCTGAAGTGAACTTTTGCTTCAGAACTGATATGATCATAACTGAATGACAAATTGTAATGAATTCTGTATCACCTTTTTGTTTTTCAAAGAAGAACATGGCCTTTAATATCACTGACTGTAACTAACTGTCAGAACTAGCAAAACATTTGGGATGAAAATGTCTGTTTAGGTTTGTTTGCCTCCCCTGTTTGTGGAGGATCAGTTCACTCATTATTTCTTTGCCTTTTGTGGATTAAACCTCAGAGGGAAGCAACAACAAACACACCTAATTTATGAAACTTTTTCAGACTTATGGTTTGTGCTTGAACCCCAAATATTTAACAAAGTAAAATACAGCTATATACGCAAACTGCCCCTAATCTAACTATTTCTTTATGTTTAAAGTTCATAGTGGTCACAGGAAGACCAAGGTAATAGGAAAGCCTGTAAGGAAGATTGTTAGAAGACTGGTTGGTGGTTCTATATATTTGGTGCAATTTTTAGATTCAACACCTGAAGTAAAAAATTGAAGAACAACTGAAAGTGCCGTGTGTATAGCTGTTGGAAAGCATTACTATGAAGCAGTTGCTGCTGCTACTACCCTAATGTAACCCATCAACACTGACCGATATCAGTTATCAGTTATTTATGCCATATGGGTAATAACCCATATGGCATAAATAACTGATAACTGATATCGTTAATATTTAAGTAAACTTCCTCAGCATTCAAACTTTGTGTTTCTTTCATGTCAGTGCACTCACATATATTTGTTACCCAAATGCTCTGTTGTTTGGCTAAAGCTAACTTGGGCAAAGATATACGTAAATACATGGAAATCAATGGGTAAGGTCTATGACAAGTTACAGAGATATCACCCCAATTAGAGAAACCACCTGAGTCAAAACATGGGGAAGCACCCGTTACATTTGTGCAGCTGGTTCATGGAGGAAAGAGACGTAGGTCATAATGTGGAACAAAGTGTTAAATACAGTGAAAGTGGGACCACTGCAGCCATTATGCATGCCTTTTTATATTTGTTCATGCATCTTCCTTGTCGTGAGCAAATGTTTCTACCAGTGCACTACTGGGCTGTTTTTGGAGGACTGCACACAAACAGTTCTGTGTTGGTTGCATACCCATAGTCCTTTCCTCTGTGTACTCAAAGACCTATGCAATGGTTCCATAAATCCACCCTTAGGCACAAAATATTTGAAAACTCACTGTTGGAACATTTAATTTAAATAGTCATTAAAATTCCAGAGTTTCAGCTGCTGTTTTACATTTTTAATGAATTTCTTCCAGAGAAAAAAAGAACAGACCGCTTCAATAAAAAACGATTTGCCAACTGACTGAATTTCAGTCATGTCAGCGTTTTAATGTCACATTTTAGGCGAGACAATCTTTTGCTTTTCGTGCATCTCCAAACATTCAATCTTGGAGCAAAATCACTTGTTTAATCTTTTTCAGCTATAAAGCCAGCAGGAGACTGATCCTCAAATATTGAGCTTCTAAGCAGAACATGGTTTCACACGCTGGGAATTTGCTCTGCAGACAAAAAAGGAACACATGTTTGGCAAGGAAATAACAAAGAGGACCTCCAAGGATATGCCACTCTTCATGGCTCAGAGACATAAAGCATACAAAAACATACCCAGTTTTAACGGGTTGGTTTGCTGCAAAGCAAACAACCCAAGTACATGTTATGCTCGGCTAAGTTCTTTATTATTATTTTTCTTCCTTGGCATTGCCTCCCCACACCATTTCTCATAGTGAGCAAAAATTAGCTGTGAGGCGACTGATTCTATGCAGTTTTAGTTTAGGTTTTACCGTTTTCAAACAGTTAATTAACAATTTGTTGCAAAAACATCATAAAAATTCCTTCCTATTCTCCCCATTGGGTACACCTGTGGCTAAACACTATTGGGTACACTTAGCAGACCATATCAGTAAGTACACCTGTCACTGGCCGGCCACTTTTTAGGCACATCTGTATACACACTACGACTGTTTTGTATAAAGTATACACATGTCTAGCCAAATTTTGAAGAGGTGGCAACAGACAATATTTGGTAGGACATGTTGTGGCAGATCTTTTATACAATATATATAATTTATTTATCCAGATAAAAGGTATTATTGAGATTAAAAATGGCTTTTCCAAGTGGCAAGTATAGTATAACAAATTATGGAAATGAACACAACTGACATTCAATACAGGCAAGTGCACACAAACATCCGAATCAAAACGCAAGCACGGTCCACTCTACACCAGTGTTGTGGTGCTGTGATACAGTTGAAGAGTTTATTGAAGCTTATTAACTTA